CATATATGAGAAGGTTTGTACATTTTCCTTAATGGTGGAAGCAGTGGGAATGATTTAACGATTCTCCCACTGTGTAGTACATCCATTATGATATGCCTCTCTGACACTCTGGTCAGCAGCAGCAGCAGCAGGTGGCATGATGTGGCTGAAGTGTAAGTGGCTTTCACAGTGCAAGATAGCCTGTCAGTCAGAGGCCCTAAGGGAAACAGCTTCACACCATGCAGAATGGCCTTTCCAAACTCTCTGTCGTTCTGTCTTTGTGTGTGTGTGTGTGTGTGTGTGTGTGTGTGTGTGTGTGTGTGTGTGTGTGTGTGTGAGAGAGAGACTGAAGTTGACATAGAAGCTCATCTCTTTTGTTTTGTGTGTCTGTGTTAAAGTCAGAGGCAGAGGATGTTAGTGGGTGGGTGTAAATCTCTGTCCAGCAGCATGTTGGGATGGGTGTTTGGGGACTAGTTGGAGAGCTGGCTCACAGGAGCTTAGATTGATGAAGTGATGGTGATGGATGGTAGTAATAAAGGCCTGGATGTCCTGTCTGTTGCCAGTGATGAAGCTGGTATGAATCACCCGTCTGGGGGCTGCTGAACATGACGCTGCTCAATCCCCACGCCCTCCACCCTGCCACCCTTCTCGCCTCTGTCCTTCTATCCCTTTATCTTTCTGCCTTGTGCCTTTGCCGTCATTACATGGAGAATATGCTTTGTGCACTTCTAGCAGCAAGCATTCAACATCGTGCCATTATAGCATCAATTGGTACTGATGCATACTCTAAGATATTATGAGGCTTGTTTATCCATCTTGGAACACAGCATGCCCACAGTTCAAAGCATTGTACGCTGTTCATTAATTTTGTGTCCAAACATCACTTGTTGACTGATTGCGATGCATGCAAGAAAAAAATCCAATCAACTCAGTCAGCCACTCCTCATGAATAGGGTCATTTGAATATAGAGGGGCATCTGAAATTGCAGTGTTTGTGTCAACATAACAAGTTAATGATCTCAGATGATAATTGGTAGTTGGATGCTGAAGCGCTGTGCTGTGGCCCATGAGGTTTAGTGCCAAGGACCTTCTGTGATAAAAGAAGCAGCATGAGGGCTTTCAAAGTGGCACGATGCTGTAGGCAACACAATTCATCACCGCTCCATGAATATTCATCCAGCTCTCCGCTTCCTCCTGAGCTGCTGAAAACACGTCTGTATTAAGTCTCTTCTATGTGCTGCAGTGTGAAGACACCTAAACCTTCTGGCCTCTCATTACCAGACTGTGCTCTTGCAGCCCCGCATTCAGCTGCCTACCAGGGAGGGAAGCCACGCTTCATTAAAATCAGAAAGAAAATTCTCTTACTTGCCTCACTAACAAGGGAGAGGGTTGGACGGTCAGATGATTGTGAATTCACCCTTCTTCGCACACGCTCGCGGGGGTCAGGAGTAGTGATTGCCACCCAGCTTTCTCCTGCACATGGCAAGTGGGTAGATGAAATTGCCAGCTTTGGGCTGTGTGGTTTGCGCGTGGACCCAGTCTGAAGCTTGATGTTAGCAATTTAAGAACATTTGCTGTCTTTTTCCAGCCCAACCTTCTCGCTGACGAGAGCCGAGAGAATCGTGGATTGGTTTCTGGGGCATCTTTTCGGCGCTTTATCGGACCTGCAGGCTTCTCGGTGCTGTCCCCAGATTACAGTTTAGGAAGACGGTGCTTGACTGACAGGCCTTGGCCTTGACAGTCCCTGGGGGGAAGGGGAGGGGGATTTGTGATGGCTGAACTGACTTGTACTTCTCTTACAATTTTCTCCAGGCTGGTTTCAGACTGTCAGGCTGAGAGAAAGCTCTCTCTGCATAATTCATTAGATCTCCTCTCTTTTTCACTCTTGGCTGGTATGTGGCAGGCACCGTAGCCCCATTGTTTAGGAAGACAGAGTAATGGAGCTTGTCACAATATGGTAACATAGTTTATTGTTCACAGCAACAGTTTGAAAACAACTTAACTTCCTTTGAAACAAGCTATTTGGCATATCCAATGCAGAATAATTACAAAGGAAAACCGAGCAATCAAATAGGCTATTCAAACAAAAACAGCTTAAGCCGCTCGTTTATTTTTCATTTATAATTGGTTAAGAGCATAAAAAGAATTCATAAATGATAATTACAACTTTAGTGTCACAAACAGTTTTGGCTAATAGACTGTAATACAGAGCAGGATATATCTATACAGGTTGCCTCGACACCAACCATTGTTTTGCAGCCAATTACCCCAGCATTGTCGGCATATGACACATACACAGGCCTGTCCTTTTGAAGCTTGTATACTGTCTCTGGGCATGATCTAGCTGGCATTTATTTCTTAAAAATCTGCAAGGGAAAATATCTCATCTTTGATGCTACATGACATCTCCCTTCACAGAATATGACTAAACAAGCTCGTTTTCCAACACACAATCCTGCGTGTTGAAGCCAGAGGACAACTTCTGTCACTGTAGCAGTAAATAAGGGCTGGTAGGAAGGGACTTTCTATAAAACTATGCAAATGCAGCAGCATGCTGACGTCTAAAACTCCTTGCATGGATGCAGTATGTCAAAATCACAAGGCATACACTGCCAATGACAGAAATGTTTAAACAGGGCCGTGGCTAATTTGCAAATTATGGTTACAGCATTTAAGGTGGTGGTAAATAAAGCTGAATTTATCTGTACTTGATTTGAATCATTAATTTTTAAATACGTGCTCAAAACTTCACCCAGGCAATTAAATTTAAAAACAGCCTTCTACACTGTTTTCTACATGGAGTTAAAACCAATAGTAAGGGCAAATATGAAAGGAGAGTGTCGGTCTCTGCTACAATAAGGAGGGATCATCTTCCACAATAACTAGATCAGGAAATTCTGTAACTGTCGCAGGTACATTCCATAAATCCCAGAGAAGACCAGCCCGTCTGGCGCCAACAGTTATGCCACGTTTAGTCACTTAAATCACCTTTGTTCCCCATTCTGATGCTGAGTTTGAACTTCAGCAGGTCGTCTTGGCAATGTCCTCACGCCTTTGAGCTGCTGCCATGTGTAGATTAGATATTTGCATTAACGAGCAGGTGAACAGGTGTGCCTAACAAAGCAGCCAGTGAGTGATTATTACTTTCAAAGTGCTGTAGTTGTCTTTCAAAGTGGACTTGAGTGTTATATAGTGCAATGGAGGATCCTCATCTTGAATAAGGTCAGCAAGTACAAGGAATTCCTGTGAGTCCCAGACCAGGTTTCAGACTTCTCTAAACAGTCTGTTTAGGATCATTTTTCTCTACTTTTGGGTCTTTGTGATGTCACTGAGACAGCCAATCAGAAGATAGCTGGCTTAAAAGGAAAGGAGATAAAATAGACTGCACTAAGGTATAGTAATGAAAATACTCTAGAGTTAAAGAGAAAGACTGTAGAGTACAAAATGACCATAACAGCCACGTTTTCTACATTATTATCCATTAGTCTTTGTATGTATATATTTCAATAACCCTGAGTGTTGCTTTGATTGTAAGAAAGGTCAGAATGTAACAGAAAGATGTTCAGCATCTTGCTTTTGAGAGAAAAACACACGAATTGAACAAAAACATACCACGGGCGAAGCTCCAAAGACATGCAAAAAGTGAAAGCCAAAAATTTGCACATTAATATAAAAGAACAGTTTCTTTCAAGTTTAAAGCCTGGTATTAGTATTCTGATGCTACACTGAAAAACACCCTTGGTTTCTCATTCAAAGTTAAGGATTACCTCTGGAGCGGTTTTCTGTCAGTACTGAACAGCTGTAAATAAGATTTGGATGCTTTTAAAAAATACATTTAAATCTAGTCAGAGTTAGAGGGGTGGAGCATAAAAGTACAAATGAAAAAGAATAAATGAAACGCTAATGTTGACTGAAAGAAACACATCTGATGTAAGGTCACATGTGGACACAGGACAGGACCAGATATTAAAATATTTTTAAAGTCTCTTTGATTAATAGCTCTGCATGTTTTAACATCACTATATCAGAGTTCATCACAACTCTCAGCTTTTCACTGTATAAAAACTTGGATCTGTATGTAACAATATGAATACTATAAACATGTAACGAGCCTTAAGAGATAATAGCTGTTGTCCCATTCAGAAAAATAGCAAATGTATTCACCATTCAATGCTAATTCTTAATACTTAGATTTAGCAAATTTAATGAGCTAAAATAGGTTTTAACCAACTGTTTGGACTTTGCAAACATAATTAGTTAAAATTAGATTCCTGTCAAGGTGCCTGCACTGAACCGGTTTCATTCAGATGAAATAACATTAAGAGCTCATTGTGTTAAACCTGGAGAATAAGATCAAGCTATTTCAAAGAAAGGATACAAGACAAATGTGATCGTGTGTATATTTAAAGCTGAGCTTTCTTACCAAATCAGGACTCTGGACTGACTCCCAAATAAAACCTCAAGTGTGGAGCTTTTGCTTTGTTAGAACTGTGCATCATGGCCTAATGAAACTGGCATGTTTTTGTTTATACATATTAAAATATATCAACTTAATTCATGCACGCAATGAACCTGATGACAGTACATGAGGTTAATTCTTGTCATAAATGCCTGTCCATGATTTTCAAAATGAATAAAAGTAAATATTTGTGCTGTGACTTGAGTATATTTAGTGCTTTTATATTCTTTAAAATGTACCAGGTAGAACACGGCTGACTCTACAGCAAGTGCGAGCAGATGGAGAAATGCGCCTTCAGAGCTGCTCCTTGTCATCTGTAATACTTTTCAAACTGAGTGAACAGTGCCATCTACTGGGAAGACTGGCGAAGTCTTCAAATATCAGAAGAACAAAATGAGATCCTATTTTTAATCACTGCAAATTTGTGTCAATACTGCAGTTACATTCTCCTATTCTCCAGCCGTTCGTTGTGCTGTGATGGAAAAAAAAACTAATCAGATCATTCAAATTGAAGAGGAGGAAAAACATTATGAAGGAAACAGAAAAAAAAAAAATAGTTGGGTTCCTCTTTACTTTGTTCTTTATTACACATTAAATAGGAGTGGTGAGATTTATGGCAAAATAGACTCATTTGAGATTAGATCACCACTCTACATTGCCCACCACAGGTATGATGTAAAGTGGTCATTCATTCACTTCCCTAAACCTGGACCCCAGTCACACTCGCTGTTCACATACAGAGAGCAGAGCGAAACTCCATTAAAGCAACATTCATGTAGACACAAATGAAATGAAGCACAATTTACAAAATATGCACCTCTCATTATCACAACTATACAAAGGTTGTTAAAATACGATCCAGGTATAAATGATACATTTCAGAAATCAGCTGTTGGCACCCATTAAAAGGAAGAGGAATATTTCAAACATTACAGTAAAACTACTTGTGAAACAGTATTGTGGACAGGAGGGTTCCATAATTAAAAATTGCATCAACAGTTATCATCTACTTCATGAAAGAAAAAGAAAAAAAGAAAGCAAAAGAGGTAATAATAAACTGGGTCAAAATCCATTAATCCTGAAAGCAAAACATCACTTTTTGTGGGAATAACAACGCTCCCCTAGAAGAGCATTTTGTGTATCTCTAGAGTACACGGGGGAAAAATAAATGATGTTTCGGCTCTTCCAACATCTATATGTAGCACCTAATGCAAAGATAAAAGGCAAATTTAAAAAACCCAGATGAGCAGTTTGTAAATACAATGGAAAATGGTGAAATTGGGGTTGACCCCAGAAGGAAACTGGACTTTTTATTATTTTTGTAATAAAGTCAGACGATTTAATCTAAGAACCAATTTTATGGCAATTATTGCCTCATTTACAAACATCCGTTCCAGTTGCATCGCCACGCTAAACACATTTTATGAGAGAAAAAAAAAAAAAAGAAAAATTATTTTGCTGGACAATCATTTTTGTTGAAAGGCAAGCCAACAAACAATTTCAACACTCAAGCAAAAGAATCCAAGGAGTAGGAGAGAGAAGGGAAGAAAGAAAAAAACAAAACCCTCTTCGAAAAGCTAAACAAAATCTGAAAATTTATTTGGACAACATTTTGAACAACCTCTGTGACTCCACACCAAGACAAATATTCTTGACAGCTGCGTAAAGGATTCGTTCTGCTTTCTAGCTGCTCACAAGCAAAGAAGTTAGTGCGCAAGACACCTCCGTGGCCTCTTATGTTCTGCTGCTGGACAAACCTTAAATTATGCAGTGAATCTAAACATTACGGTCAAATACGAAGTCCACAAGGAGGAGGACAGCTGTTAACAGCTGTTTTTGAGCATATATTGATGAAATGATTATTTGTCAGGATGAATCAAAACAATCCTACAGTCAAATCTTAGCCTAAAGAAAAGCAGGAAACTTTTAACCGAAGTCAAAAAAGGCAACACAAAATGACCCTCATAATGTGGCTGCTAGTCCCATCTTATTAAGACAAAAATGGGTTCAAATATATATCTTGCTTAGAATTTCTGCTTTAAAAAAAAAAAAAAAAAAAAAGGCAGATTTATTTCTCACAAAAGCAAAAAACTACTTTCAAAAAAACCTGAAAAACTAGACTATGTCCAACCGAGTCAGACTTCTTTATCGCTGGCTTCGTTTAATCCATCGACCAGAGGCAGTTTACCCATGTCTTCTAGGACATAATTCATGCAAAAAGGAAAAAAAAAAAATCTCTCTCACCTCATGGCAAGAACACACAGTACTAAGAAAAGACAAATTAATTAATAACTAATGAAGGTGTTAAAACATTCAGAGATGAGTAGGAGTTTGCATGCATACTTATCAGTGGCATAGCTAAGTCATACCTAGAGGTCGTTAGAGACGGGGACAAAACACGGGGGCTGGGATTGGATCTCATCTGGCTGACTGTTGGTCCTTTCTTCATATCCATATTGTCTACGTGAGCGGGATGAAAATTCATTCTTTGGCATCCCATACTTTTAAAAAGGTCATTAGAGAACATGACCTTTCAAGCAAAGAGAAAATTAACTCACGGTTTAATGAATAATTTGTTAAACATAATTTGCAATGCAATTGGCTCCCAGCTCTGTAAAATGCTCCAAATCAGCATTATCATTTAAAAAAATAACAATCCTAAATTCATCAGGCTCTTGAACCCATATTGTGGGCAACTGGCACTAAACTGAAAATGAAGCTTATTGGTGTCCAAAGAAGCAAATAAGAAGAGAAAAAAAAAAAGAAAAGGCAGAAAATTCAGTTCAGGTTTAGTATTGTGTGGGTATGGAGAAATAGGCTAATAATTTAGTGTAATGTACAAAATGTATTACTTGAACTGTTCAACATAGTTGCATTTTTTTGTCTTAAAAGGGAATCATTATTCACATAATTGTACACTTTGTCTTGGACTTCTTTTTCTTCTTTTTGCCCTCCTTGCTCATCTTCTCCTTATGCTTCCGGATTTCTCGCACTAACGTGTAAAAGGCATCGTCAACGCCCTGGAAAACAAGCAGAGAGTGTGCACCGTTAGAGTTAAGAAGCTTTGTTCATGACTGCACTGTGTAAACTTGTCTACTAAAAGTGAATCAAAATCTCCAAATAAAAAGTCTGTCCATTTTAAATACACCGTTTTCTGATTAAGTGTACATTCTGTAAATGAGACACAATTCGGGGGATCAATCCGATTCGAACCATTTAGGACATGCTGAATAAAATGTGTGTTTCAGAATAAAAGTCAGTGGTGCTTCCACTGACATCAAAGACAGTGGCTGCAGTTACATGGGCTTCATTTCTCAATGTCATCAGCACAGTCTGGCACCAGTACAGGATTTAAAATGTATGTACCTGAAGTATTCATAAAATATAGTTCCAGTGGAAAAGATGCACCGCTGGGAAAAGTGCTCTCACAAGCAATGAATAAACAAATTTAAATTAGCCCTTTTAAAAAAAAAAAGAAAGAAAGAAAGAAAAGAGTTAAAGGGGTAATAAAACTTTGTTTTGTTTTTATATAAATACACCAATTTATTCTGACAGAGGTATTTAAATTAGGCTTTTATTCTCTCACAAAGATCCTATTCAGATTATTGGTGAGTAACAGGCTCCATGGAAATGCAGCAAGTGTCGTTTTAATGGCACACTGACGTAAATGTGTGATGAACATTTTGAACGGTGTGTAAATGTGACAATAATCTGTAAGGAGCAGTAGAGTGAAGAGCCTGAGGCCAATTTAAGGTTTTGACAAAGACAGCAGGAAAACAAAACAGAGTAAAGAAGAAGGGATTTATATCAGCAGGAAAAATTGCCTTAAAACCACACGCACACAATTTGTTGACGACACATCTCTGCCATTTTCTCAAAGCGCATCCTTCGCAGAAACACATTCCAGCAAATGATTCAGTCCAATGTTTGCAGTAACATCCTCTAATCACACATGATGGCTAAACCAGCCCAAAAACCCCATTGTTCATGCTGATTTCAGCCCATTAGGACACTTTCACACTGGTAGTCTGAATCTAGGAACGGTTAGCCTGGAAATCTGACTGTGTGAACACAAGTGCAGACCCCTTTCCAGGTTGACTAAAAGGAAAAGGTCTGGCTGCCAAAGTGCAGAAAGAAGGTTTCTTTCATTATAGGAAAATGTATTTCAGTAGTCGTGTTTGGATTAAAACAGGACAGAAAACAGACTCCCAGCTTTACAGTCGGAAAACAAACCCAAACCTGGTGCCGTGTTAGTTTTTATGCTCGAGTTGAGCAATAAGGTAGGCACTTGTTTGGGTTTTTTTGTAACATTTCTCACTCTATGCAGACTGTTACTTCAGTCGTGCTTTTTCTACTTACAGCGTTCAATTTTTCTGACATCTCTCAATAAGCACAGTCATCATTCATAATGGAAATAAGGGGAGAAAAAAAAAATCCCCACCCCTATATGAGGAAGGCATAATGCAAATGTCCACCAGTGTGAAAGTAGACTAGCTTGCATAGATCAAAGTTCTTTAGGCTCAGTAAACCAATCCAGTGTGAAAACAAACTCAATAAAATCAACCATGATACACAGAAACACTGAAAGGACAGGAATCATCAGCTGCCTCAGCCTCATGTTAGACTCACACCACAGCCCCAATAGAAACCAGCAGGTTAGCTTTGAGAACATGTGAAGCACCAGCTCCTCACTGAGTGTCTTCTTCCATTTCCTTCACCACAATTCCCACTAACAACACACACGCAGAGCTGGTGGGTGTGCGGCTGCATACACTTACCCCTTCACATCACAACACACTTTTTAAGCTTGACACAGCGCGGAGTCTTTTCTTCCTTGCTGATCTTATTGACCCGGTACAGCCTGATCTCCCGTACCAGAGTGTAAAAGGCATCTTCCACTCTCTGCAGTATGAAACACAACTTTCCTCAATGTTGAGGAATACACAGGAGGAGGGGGGAGGACATACTATTTGGATGCATTTGTTACAAACTACAAATACGAAGGAGTAAAGCAAACTGGCGGTGCAGGTCTACTTGCAAAGTTTGCCCTGCCTAATCCTCTGCATAACACTTTATTTCAAAATCTTGGGATATGGATGAATATAAATGTTGATTTCCCCCCCCTCCATATCTTTAAAAATATAATTTGAGTGTTTTTAAGGAGAGGAAATAAATATTAAGTCATTCAGAAAACAAATACTTTGATTCAGTATGTTGCCTGACCTGACTACTATTAAGCAATGATGCACTGTAGTCTCCTTACTTTTCCATCCACATTGAAACTGACAGAAGCAGTGTATTCAGCTACATCAGTCCAAAACAAGTGCAACGCATTGAGTATATGTATACAGTTGTAGTCAGAAGTTTTAATTCACTTATCATGGGCATGAATGTCCTGATAATTTTGGGCCATTATTTTTTTCTTTCAATTGATTGTACAGCATACATCTTTAAGCTTGAGCTTTGAGTTCATTTTAGTTTTCTCTAATCCACACAGGCTCAAATACAAAGACACGCCCCCACTAATATTTGGCTAAATGTCCCTTCTTGAGTTGCACCTCAACCAGACACCAGCCATCAACACGCTTCTGGCATAGTTCTGGCTGGATTGCTGACCACCCTTCTTGGCAGAATTTGTTGAGTTTGTGTAAACTTCTGACCACAACTGTAAACAGACAGTGGAGAGGTGTAATATGGTGCAGGAGTGGTTCAGAATTTTGATTACCAGTGTGGCTGCTCTTATTTTCACCTTCTGAGTACATGTATGCAAGTGTTCTGTGATGGTAAATAAGATCCCTGAGACATCTACTGTAGTGAGGACTAAGACAAGGCGGCTCTCTTTGCTTTAGCTTGTGGTTTTATATCTGCTTGTGGACAGATTGTTATGAATATGATACCTTTACAACTATGTAAGACGCAGTTAAACTTTACAGTCATAATAAAAATGTCACAATACGAATATATTTGCTTTTTTTTTTTTTTTTTTAAATTGCATATTTAAAAAAAAAAAAAAAAAAAAAAAAAAAGCAGCAAAGCTCAAGCCACCAGATTTTAATTTAGCCAATTATCCCCTCTGGCCTCTGCACCACAGCCAATTTTAGATGATTCAGTGAAAATCTCATTTTTAGCAGATGCATTTGGGAATCTGAAATGGAGTTACCATTACTTCCAGCAGAACAAGCTTAAATGCTTCTCTAGAACTTTATTTTTCAAGATGACAAATGCGGCAAGCAGGGTAAGTCGTGAGCGAGGACTGTGTTGGTGTGTCCAAAACCTCCTTCGTTATTCATGTAACGTGTGCAAGTTCCAAAACTGTATGCCGTTTTAAAAACAGACACCTTCCAAGCTTGCAGTGGGCGAGTGGTAACAGTATTTGTTTGGTATCATTTAAAAATTGTATATTGTGCCCATCGTGCATTTCCAGAGAAGATTAAATTATTTAAGAGTAGCCATGAGTGGCTTCAAATAAATGTAATAGTTCCGGTTCTAATAGAAGCAGCACTGTGTGGACACTGAACTTCCCTGCACCAAAAGGAACTATGATTCACCCCAGATCAGAGAACACTAAAATGCACTTACAGATCACTCCAATAGCCAGTCTGCTACCTAAAGCCATGCCCACAACACACACACCACTGATATCACAGCAAAATCTTCCAAAACCCCAGACACAGCAACCAGTAAGCAGAATCATTAACCCTCTGATTAATTTCCGACACTTTGCCCTTTCATGCAGAGTCCCTGACACCGATTTGCTGATTATTTATAAAGCAGGATCCTTTGCAGGTGGGCTAATAATGATTTAATTCACATATCCGTGACAAAGCAGCATGCAATGATTACATTGTCACCCATTAAATTTAAATTAACCAAAAAAGATTTAATGATGCACAGCGTGTTACCTGAGACAATTTCAAGCAAGATAATCATTTAAGAAAAAAAAAACAAAAAAACAAAAAAAAGGGACCAACAGAGATAGCAACACAAATCAATAATCCCTCATGATACAATCACATTCTTGTGATCCATTTCCCAAAATCATCCAGCTGCGTTACCAAAATTACCATTAGCTTACCTTTTCTGAAAAAACAATTTGATACGAAAGGAACATTTATGGAAATGACAAAACGACCAATAACCCTGAGACCACATGCACCTCCACACCATTTAACATGCTCTCCATACCTCCAGTTCAATCCCACAACAGTTTAGTGACAGAGTTGACAAATGAGCCACTTTGAGTCTTGAGGACAACACTCAGTCTGTTGTTGGGATTCTCACCTGTCTGGTTTTGGCTGAGGTCTCAATAAAGGGAATGCCGTAGCTACGTGCTAAGTCCTGAGCCTGCTTTGTGTCCACTGTCCGGGACGGGAGGTCACACTTGTTCCCCACCAGCACCATGGGGACGTCCTCAGAGTCCTTCACCCGCTTAATCTGTTCTCTACACATTCACAGCCAGAACAGAATTGCAGTTTTAGTTTCATTTTACTTGTGTAGTACTCCATTGGCTACGTAATACGATGTTAGAAAACACTGTACAAACAAACCACACTGAACACACAAAACACTTGTAGTGTACAGAATGACTTTCTATAAACTGCAAGTGTTGCTGTAGTTTTCAGAAACAAGAACATTAATGACTTAAGCTCAGCCCCTTACAGAACACTGATACACATATTCTGCTGTAGTTGTAATTCCTACAGTGTTTTTGTACATTTTAATAGAAGATCCCATATATTTACAATATTTTAGTATATCAGTAAGTTGGGGGCGGGGGGGTTGCTACAGTAAAAAAATAAATAAAAATAAATAAATAAATAGCAATGATACTGGTATCGATATTGAACCGTTCGATACAGTGCTTTCGGTTCGGTACGCATATGTATTGAACAATAAAACATTTATTTATTTTATCAACTCTTCTTCTGACAATGCTGTCTGTGTTGAGCGCTCAGTGGATCTGTGTTCGACTACCCCGCCTAGGCTGCACTGTCGAGTGCAGATCCACTGAGCGCAGTGCAAGCTAGCAAGACAGAAGCTAAGCTCATTGCAACATAGCAACTGCCTCATTGCTACCCGAAATTGAAGCTCCCCCACCCTCATTCAGATCTGGTGTTTGGAACTGTCTTGATTTTCATGTGAAGCATGACCCTGATGGTAAGCGCGTCATGGACAAAAGTAAAACAGTATGTCGGATAGAGGTGGGAGTCACCATACATCCCACGATACGATATTATTGCAATTTTTTAAAATATTTTGCAATAGTTAGATTCTGTACATAAAGGTAAACTTTATCAATATTCATTTTATCTAATATCAAAGTCTCGCACTCAGTCTTTCTCTCATTTCAGTCAGTTTTATTGTTGACAAACTGAACGGTTTGTATTACAGTCTAGTCCAACTTAACTGAATGCAACCATCTGGTACAATTATAGCTATTCTGAACTATGCAATTTGTGAAAACTATGCACCCCATTCAGCAACTGAAGAATTTGAAAGTAAATTAAAACAAAATATAATTTTACATTAAATAAAAAAAGTTTTAAACTTAATTAAAAAAAAAAAACGTCTTAAATTAAAATAAGTAAACTGTCATGTTTATTGCTGCCAAAAAAAAGTTAAACACATTTGGACAGTGAAGGAATGTCAGGATTCTTGCTCAGAAAAAGGAGCTGATCAACATGCTCTGAAGTCAGAGAACAAAAACTTTTTTTGTAACAAAATATCGATTTCTGCTGTCCCTGTATCGATACATTATTAGCAAACAAAATATCACGATACTACACAGTATCGATTTGTTTCCCCCACCCCTAATGTCGGATGTGCCACGCAATGCTCAATTTGTGGGAACTAGTGCGTTAGCGCAGTTAGCCGTTTACGTGTTGACGCCGTCCAGCCCCACGCACGGAGCGATCCGCGGTAACTTGTTAACGGAGATTTGACGCGTTATGGTGTTAATGTCATTTTAACAAGATTAACGCTGACAGCACTAGTGGGAACAACGAATATGACTGCACATTTACACCGACATCATCCTAGTGCAAAGACAAGTGGAAGCAGGCAAAAACAACAAGCATGCATGCTACAAACTTTAGCCGAGTCATTTAGACAGCCTTTAGCACATGATTCTCCTTATGGGGACCTGATATGTTTAATATGCTGCTGAGAATATACCCCAGAAGAAGGCTATAGTATAGCTTTTATTTTGGAAAGAGCCATTTCTCTGTAATAAACTCTCTTTTCCAAAGATGAGTGATTTCTCGATCAGATAGATTTATTTTTTTTATTTTGTTGTTTCAGCAACATTAAATTTAAAAACTGTACTTTTGAGTTAAAATATACATTTATAATTTTAATAAATTAAAAATTAAAAAGGCATGAACATTTTTTGTATCGAAAAAATATCGAACCGTGACACCAAAGTATCGAACCAAACCGTGAATTTTGCGTATCATTGCACCCCATATATATAAAAAAATATACATTTTTATATATACACTTTAGTGACTTCAAAATACAGCATGTTATTTCTTAGTTTTAAGTAAACTACTACATACTGGTTACAAAGACATGAGGCAATTTCTCCCCTAGCTCACCTATAGTGGTGAATGTCTTCAAAGGACTTGGTATTGTTGATGGCAAAGACACAGAGGAAACCCTCCCCTGTCCTCATGTATTGATCCCTCATGGCGCTGTACTCCTCCTGACCTGCTGTGTCCAGGATGTCCAGTAGACATGTCTCTCCGTCAATGACTACCTGCTTTCTGTAAGAGTCCTGGAAGCAAAACACATGAGAATCCTGGAATTTAGTGGTTTTAAGAGATGTAATACAATGAGATGATAGCTTATTTAATAATTTTTAAATAGATTTTAAGTTACTCTAAATGTGTTGGCTGAGTGTGATTTACCGATGATATCGCATTTTTAATCTAATAATTACGATACTTAAAGTTATGAGATGATTTCAATAAAAGATACCACAGGGCATCTTCTGTTCACTACACCAGTAGGGCACTTCATTTTTCAGCAGACCTCATATTACAATGAGCTCATTTCTACCGTGTCGACGTACTCCAGCTTTTTATTACACTGATAACTACACTCAATCCCATCTAACACAAATAATTACTCTTTGCTCCAGTGAACAGCCATACCTTTGGATGCCATCTTCTATTTAATCTATATCAATGGTCTAACCTCCAGCAACAAATCAATAATTGATTGAAATCATGATGGGACTTAGTTTGATCACTGGCCTTTTGAGAGCTCGGGCAGGAAGACATCCATTGAAAGTTCTAGAAAACCTGTTTGGAGTCTCTCTTTAAAGCTTAAACCAGTAAAACCTGTTGCAACTCATTTTTGTGAATATATACACATATATATATATGTATATAAAAACAGGACTTACAACTTGTGCTGCCCCCTTTCATATGTCGACACATACACAAAGACACAGGAACAGAAACATTCTATATTTTTCCTTTACCTCAATGGTGGGGTCATACTCATCCACGAAGTGATTCTGGATGAGCTGAATGGTAAGTGCGCTTTTGCCAACGCCACCAGCTCCCACCACAACCAGTTTATATTCTGTCATGATTCACCTGCAAGTTAAAAAAAAACAAAAATACAATCTCATTATATGATTATCTTCAGTGAAAGTCAAATGGAAAGTATTAGTTTATCTGGTGCACAATCAATGCCTCGTGCATTTTCCACTTAAAACAATTTTACAATCTAATCGCATTCAAACATTGTCATTTCTGTACAACAACCCGTTTGTTTACTGGAAATCTGCACACTCAGGACTGGCAGAATGAGAAGATATTAATATATGAACACCACTTCCAGTGAGTAACTCAACTCGCCCTCAGCTATTCGTTTAATAACACACCTGAATCACTGGGAAATTAGATTTCACACCAAGTTTAGTTTGCTTTTCACAGAGAAAATGCCCATTTTAGTATTAACCAAGAGGCTTGTAGAAGAAGCTTGCCACAAACACAATAGATGGTTAATCTGCATGTGTTTGTATGCAAATGGAGGGTATAAACAGAAAAAACCCAAATGGATTCACAAAAAGCTGCTATATTATCAAATATTCTTTAAATAATCAATTGAAATTGCTGTCTCTGAAAATTGTCAGAAACATCAAACGTGAAATAAAATGCATAAAGATGAGATTATGCGTATATATAATTAAATGTCTAAATTCAATAGTGTTTTCTGAGTGACAGCTCCACAACAGACGCCAACCCCAGGCAGAAATCCATGACATTACATTACATTAAGGCTCCAAAATTGACAGGCAACTGGGAGGGTCTCTGCTGTCTGTCTGCTGTGTGGAGCGGAACACATCAATAGTAGTTGCTGGTCTTTTCAGAGGCTACAGCACAGAAAGCTCAGCTGAGCCTGCAGTCAGGGAGGAGTGCCACTAAATATTATTGCTACGTCTAGAATGCTATGCATTTGCCCAACTACTAATAAACTAGTTTGTGCTCACAACACTTTTCTTTATAAAATTGTCCCCCATTATTTCATCTACACACTAAGTGATTTACACATGTCATTGATGAGGATGCCATCTGTAAAGAAACAACCTCATCTTTAACCTGAACAGACAAGACCAATTCCAGTGTCAATGGAGATTCCTCTGAGTGTGCCACATGGCTTTCACGTCTCTATGTCTATGCTGTCACTTTGCAGCATACTAGTCAGTGAAAGTGGAAAATGAATGAATACAGCAAGCTGTCAAGCAACAAACAATTTAAAAATAAGGAATTTAGCTCTTGTACTCCAGTAAGAAAATATAATTTGCGTTTTAAGGATTGAGATTCTTTTTTTTAATTTTTTAATACAGTGAATGATATCTGCTTCAAACTGTGGCAAAGTTTTGAAGCTGTGGAAGGTCGATGGAAACCTTATTTCCTTAAGATAGGAGTGTGCCACTCGTGGCTGTAGCTTGCCTTAAACTGAACCCATTAATGGCATGCAGTGCATCCAACTTTATGTTGACATTCCTGAAATCAAGGACATTCCCAATAGAGGAAGAAGAAGAAAAAAAACCCACTGAACTGAATATCACTGCGGGAGAAAAAAAAAATATCACCTATTTCACAAGAAGACTTGTCGATATTTATTAGCAAACATATCGTTATGCTAGTTTGGAACGGTCAGCCGGCTACGTGATTTAGCTTTTCAATGAAAGACCACCTATCATGCTTCAACAGGTAGAAGCATCAGTAGCATACTTAAAAGTCAACAGGGATTTTGATTTAAATTCACCGCTTTGCGACTACAGGGTTACCATAAAGGCTGTGTGAAACCGTCTGAGCACCGGGCTGCTGTGCTGCTAGCAAGCTTAGCATTGGAGCTCGCCAACAGCCTCGAAAGTAAACTCACCATGAGACCACATCAGCTAACTTAACGTATTATAAAAATGTAATTCATTAAAAGGAGCACTGGCTGCACCGCCTACCCCGACACACTCGTTATCATTCATTCAAAGGGGAAGGGTGCCAGATTTTGAAGCCGCCATTGGTAAGCTAGCTCACAGGTCTGCGTTGCAGGGCCAGACGGTAGGTTAACAATTGGGCGTAGTTAAGTTCAAAAAACCGAAAATGAATAATACCACTATAGCGGTGTTGTTTAGTGTTTAGATAGTGGGCACGGTGACCGACTAACTACATTAGTGAAAACAATGTTTCGACAAGCACTACAAAAAAAAGGAAAGGGGGCCCAACATGTAATAATCTCCTCCATTTGTTTTACCTTTTACTGAGTGGAGTTCCGCGTCCGAAGTAGCGACCGAGTCAAGCTGATATTCCTCTCGTTTCACACGATCTCTGCATTTCCTATTTCTCACCAAAACCCCCGCATTTAAGTTGATCTGTCGTCGGTTCACAATCAAGAGAGAACATGCGAAAAAGTGAGCAAATTAATCGATTGAACTTTCCATTTGATCCAGCGCCCCGGCCTAGCTGCTCCGTCTGGCCTGCTTTACGCGTATATGGGCGGATACCAGGCGTACTTTTACCCATAAACCATAGCAGGATTTCAACCGGTCTGGGGCATTTATCTCTCGATGTGTGTATGTGTCGCAATATGAGTTGTAATACACTGTACTTTGTCATTTGTGTGCGCATTGCGGCTCTTTTACACAGTTTTCATTTATGACTAGATTTATATAAGCACTGATTATTCTACTAGTAGTGGAGATGTTACCTGTCTTTTTTAATTCACATATGTATGTTTTTAAAATTATTATTTTTTAACCAGAGTGAGAGGTTCATATCAATACTTTAATGATTGAAATGATTAATGATTTCATTGATATACCCACAAAGGTCACAATTTGTAGGACTTGTGCTCTGACTGCTGCTGCCTGCAGTCAACAAAGCCTAGGGGGCACTCCACGAGCTTATTTATAGGCTCTAAATATAACTGGAATGTGCAGGACGGACGTCATTCCCAGGCAGGAAAATGATTTGGCAATCCCTTGTCAGTTTTCCTACGTGTTCACAAGGGTTCCTCCTGCGCACTGCATGTGCAGGCGTTCGTAACAAAAGACGGACACAAAACCCAAACTTATGTTTAAGGATAAAAGGAAAGAACAGCATATAGCATGTTTTGTTTGTTTCTTGTTTTGTTTTGTTTTCTCTTTTAGTCATGAGGATTATTGCCCATTGTACCAGAAAGGTTGTTTTTAGTGGATTCTGTCTGGGACCTTATACTAATAACATTAAATAAATAACATGCAGCAAACATAATACGTTCTTGTACCGTAAAATAATATGACGTTGTTTTTAAAACCCAATGCATTGCTTTCACGTTGTACAACAGACACGCTAGAGGGCACTATTGAGCTCTCAATTCCATGTGCTGCTGGATTTAGAGATCATCTGTGAAACAAATGTGTAAATTGAGAATATCTGAATCACTTTTTCAATTTTTAACCACTTTTTCATTACTTTAAAAGATGCCAGGTCAGAGAGGTGCAGGTAAGAGGTAACTTTACAGCTGAAAAAGACTATAATCAAATGCTCAAACGTATTAAGGTCGCATCATTCATTATACTGTGAGCAAATAACAGTAATTATCATAATCTGTGCCTGGAATTTTACATTAGTGTCAGAGAAAATGCTGCATTGTATCTACATCTCAAAAAAATATACAGTGTGTAAAACTAAGGAAGTAGTTAAAAGAGAGAACTCTTAAGTTCCCTCTTTTCAAAGTCATACAGGGTTCAAATGTTAATTGAACAAAAAAAAAAACCTCCTATCTACCAACGAAACTCTAACTATAGTATCACCATTGAACTACACATATCAAAGGCACTGTTATTTGCAGACATGAGAGCAAATTTTGGACAAAAAGTAATTTCCACAGTGACAGGCATGTTCCAGCCACATGTTCATCAGTAAAATCACGTCCATAAGTTTTTGGACAAAGATACAAATTTTTTAATTTTGGTGGACAATTGTCATATTAATGAAACGCTTTAATTCTTCAATAGTTAATGTCTTTTTTCTTTTTTTGCTAAGCTAAAAATCTGTACTCAAGTCACATCTCGATTGTTTGATTTAGATTCTACAGTGGTGTCACACAGGGGCAAAACTACAAAAACCAATGTGTCACTCTCCTAGTATTTAACTGCACATTAAAGAAGCTTCTGTGCTATGACACATTTTACTCAATTTGAGCACTCAAAGCACTTTTTACTTAAGTCTCGTTCACACCTCACTTTTATATATGACTAAGGAGTTCTTGTCTAACAGTCACACACACACAGTCCAACTGATACAAAGATATCTCAACACATGGACTAGAAGAGCCGGGAATCAACCAAGCGACCTTCTGATTAGTAGATGGTCTGAACTACCGCTGACCCCCACATGTAGTGTCTCATTTCTGAGAACAAAATCATCAATCCTTCCAGGGCTGGATTAAAAATAATAATAACAACAAAAAGTGTTCCATAACTTTTTAGATCAGTATCCTATATGTTGGTCCTACAGTCAAAGTACCCTAGTACCCAAGTCCATATCAGAATTTTAGCACCTAGCCATTGATCATAGGGTTGCCTTGTGCAGCTGGTGATATATCCAATGAAGAGACACCTAATGTAGAATAAAAAGCTTGTGTACAATAATCCAAGAATATAAAGTGACTAAATATATATTTTAAAGATCACAATATATGTTGAAAATGATCTAACAGACCTTTATATATATATATCAGACATTATACTTGCTGACACAGTCCACTGTGCTTTAGTTTTGAAAGCAATTTGGCAAAGATCAAATTGGTTATTACAAAAGCGATTATGCACATCAGTAAAATAAAAATGTATACATTTATACCAAACCTCGGATGAAGTAATGTAAACCTCACCAGACGTGTTGGTTAAGAGCACTTAAACCACTGATTGCACCACTTCTCTGTCCTTAAGAATTTAAGAGGAAAGTCTGTTTTGTCACAAGAGGGCACTAAGCCTCCGTTTATACGCGGTCTCACTGCTGTAGGCTCATCTTCATCATTTGCATCAGTTTGAATGCATCTACATGCTGTGTATTTGCAAGAAACTGAGGGAATGTAAATGCAGCCTACAAATTCATTCACGTGATTTCTAATATGAATATTTGACAGTGTAAATGATGTTGTTTGAAAATAAAAGTGTTCAGAGCACCAATTTGACTTTTTTTTCAGTTAGATGATACAATGATGATTTATCAGCTCTTTATGTGAGCTTGCCTTTATGGTGTCTCAACAGAACTGGAAGTAAAACACGATGGTGTTTAAATGTCTATTTTCACTCTTTTGGTGCAGTCTAACTGTAGTTCAAAGCTTTTTCGCTCTCTCACGGGCAGATTTTCAGTCACAGCCTACGCGACATCCCCCCTTATCCCAGTATTTCCTTATGTAAGAAAACCCTGCATGGTATCTTTCTTCTTCTTTTAAAAAGTCTGCGGATCTGTAAAAGTTGCCTGGAAGTCATCCTCCCCCTCACAGTGTATTGCAGCTTTAAAACAGTCCACAATGCCTTGCGGTGCGTCCCAGTTCCAATGCGACTCCAGCAGGAGTAATGAAACGGGGGAGAGGGGCTTTTTCCGCAGCTTATTGGTGAGACCGCAAAAGACTGTGTGCCTAGAGAGGACTGACACAAACTTTCGGACCGCGGATTGAAGCGACAGTTCATCTGTTTTCGGTGGGTTTCCTAAGCCTCTGTTTTTTTTCTGTTTTCGAAACGTGACTTTGTCGCAGTTCGTTGGTAGTGATTTACTGGGCAATGCTGAAAAAGGAGGACGAATTTTGCGGAATTCTCTCCTCTACCTGTGTTTTCCCTCTAAACTTCGGTCCGGACAGGAAGGACTAACTTTAATCCAGCAAAGGTAAGACCGTTACGCAACGTTGATTATTCGCAGATTGCGCCGCAGCTGAGTCCGCTGTAGTTGCGTGTAAGGCGGAGATAACGGAAACATTTCTGTAGTAGAATTTAGTTAGACTGCTCAGGACCCACTACAGCCCACTATCGCCATTTCTCGGGCTTCCTCCCACTCAACACCCACTACAGCTCGAGCTACACAAGCAGCTAGAAGGTGCTTGTTTTTGAGGTGTTTCAGCTCACAATGCTCCTTGCGTTCTTTCATGTGAATTTTAGAAATATTGTCAGTTACAATCATGTGACGTGCTCAAAGTCTATGTTTGCCCGTGTTGTGTTGGCTTGCCCCGGGTTTTTCCACAATATCGGGTAAGCTGCAGCTTCTTCTGCAAATATGTCAAGCTCGTATGGTCTCAAAAGTATGTATGCATGTTTAATAATTTAATAATCTGCATATAGAGCCACTTGGTTTATTGTGTCTAAAGCTCCAGTGCTTTAACCACTTTGACACACACACACCAAGTGCAGCAGAACCAACCTGTAGAGTTGTTGCACTTGCACAATGTCTTATTCTCTGCAGCCTTGGAGCATTACTTGGGTTTTGTAGCGGAATCGAGTCATTTGGTGGTCTTTTCTGCATTCTGTAAAGAACCATGAAGACCAGGCTGAAAACAACCACCTACAGACTGGAAAAATATATATATAATTGGCACATTTTTTTTCGTGGCTGCCACTTCAGTTGCTCCTGTAAAAACCATTTGAGTTCTATAAACGCATACGCAACAGTTTGACTCACAGCTGCAGCTTTGCAAACCACAGTAACATGTAAAAGAAATTGGCCAAAGGCCTCTGGTTGCCCCGCTGAGCCGCCGCTGTGCTGCCCTGCTGCAGGAGCCTGCTGCTTGGCCCTCTGGCTCTTTAAAGCTGGCTAGTGAGCAGAGAATATGGCAAGGGAACAAAGGCGGCATTATTGCTGGCTGAACGTGCTGTCCAGATGTTCCAGATTCTGCCAGCACTGACCTCCCAAATGGGGGAGGTTGCTTCAGCGCTTAATAGTTTAATATCAACCAGACAGAAAAAAAGAGAGAGGAGTAGCTCCAGGGCAAGGGGCCACTGGAGACATCCCAAGAGCTGTGGGTGCTGGGTGTAGCCTAACTGGATGGGGGTTTAATCCCAAACTCTCCTATCTTCAGAGCGAAAACACAAATTCTGAGGAAGTGCTGGAAACATTTTTGTCCTTATTTTTGGGGTTACTTTGGTGGCTTGGGGCATTTACTTAAGGCACACACATTTAAAAAGCTTCACATGTAATAAGTATGTTGAATGCAATCCATTATCTTCTGCTACGTTTTCAGCGGATTTAGTATAGGTGCAATAAATGGACAACAACCATCAATTGGGAATCCTCAGTTTGAGCCTTGCAAACGCAATTTTTCTGACCTTGTAATTATTATTATTGTAGGTTCATGTTATTTAGGTGCCATTACCTACTGTTGTACTTTCCATAGCCACCAGTATCACTATGCAAAGGACCCCATAGCTTTCTTATCTCTTAGTCATGGCCTATTGGATTCTCACAGCCCAGGAATGCATACCCTGTATGTTATCAGTTTTCACTCTCCAGGATCAAGGCTTTTCTCTGGTCCTT